ACAGTAAAGGTACAGTAAGTAAAAGTAGCTTAATAACAACATCTATCAAACACACCAGGTCACAAAGTCACCCTTCGCCTTCTCTCTCCAGTCGGCAGATGCGAGCGTCCATGGGCCGCAGCATGCTGAAGAGTTCCAGCGTGAGCGGAGAGATCTACACCCAGGAGCGCACAGACGGCAGCCAATCAGACACGGCGCTGGGCACGGTGGGCAGCGGCAGCAAGAAGAGACGCTCCAGCCTCAGCGCGCGGGTGGTGGCCATCGTTGGCAACCGCCGCAGTCGCAGCACGTCGCAGATCAGCGGCCCCGGTGAGTCGGCGGTTTCGGGGATTTGCTGGAATTTCATAGGACTGTATTTAAAGCCCGTTTGCCACTCTGTGGTGTTAGTTTTTTGGAAGCAGACATGACAATATTTAAAAAAAGAGGGCGGAGATACCTAACATCCATAACATCCATCTGCTGTATGTCACTTTCCAAAAGCTTTCTCTAATCTGACTCCATCCTCTGCTAACCTGCATTCTTTTTTCCATTAAAGGTACAATATGTAAAGTTTAATTAAATGCATGATGTAATATGCAAGATCTGACTTCTTGAGGAATGTTAATGACCGAGGAAGTCTCTCACGCCTCAGAATGATATTTTAATAATGCAAGAAGTCCCAACCTGATTGAAGAGGGTTAATATGAGAAAGCCCGCTGGCTCTGTGGACACACACTGCATTACTGTGCTAATCAGCTCACTGAGATCCTTTCTGCACTTTTTCAGAGGTGTGCAGAGGCTGGCAACATATCCAGTATATGGGAAACATCAACTGTAATACCTGTCCCAAAATCAGAAGTGACCAGTTCAGACCAGCTGCACTTACATCCTTTGTCATGAAAATCTTTGAAAACATGACGTGTGCTTAATTGGTGATAAACTAGATTCACTGCAGTTTGCTTGTCTAGTGGGCAGAGCTCTTCATTCTAGACAGCGCATATAAGAATCTTGAAAACCAAAATCTTACACGGGAGGTTTATTTGCAGATTTTTCTTCCACGTTCAATGAGATGCAGTCCCGACATTACCCGATCACATTTATTGTTGCTTTTAATTTTTTTTAACTGACAGAGTTCAGTGGGCTTTTGGAAATGCCTGCATGCCCAATCCTATTATCTCAAACTCTGGCTCCCCACAAGGCTAAGTCTTTCTCCTCTGCTTTTTATCATGTGCACAGACAGCTGCACGAATTCTCAGTGGGGCAGATTTCTGGTCAAGTTTTCTGATGACACTGGGCTGAAAGTCAGAGCACATTGGTGCTTTGCCTGCATTTGTCAAGTGACAAACTTCTTGCCTTTAATTTGACTTAAACTAAGGAATTAGTGAATTTGATGCAAGCAATCAAAAAGCGTGGAGACAAAACCCAAACGCAGACAGACTCAAAGAAACTGAAAAGACGCCTTTAATTTTATAGGTGTAGAGTACCCAAAGAGTAAATACTCACTCAAGAGGTAACTAAGCAAACTGGACAGAGCTGAAAGTAATTAAAACAACAAGGCAAGTAAAATTAAATACAAAACACCAGTAACAACCAGCTACCAAAATAAAACAGGAAGTAACAAACAGTCAGTGTTGCCAACTTAGCGACTTTGTCGCTATATTTAGCGAGTTTTCAGACCCCCTAG